CGGGCGGCGTCCCGGGGCCGCTCCGAAGCCCCGGCCCGCTTTAACGCTCCCCCCCCCTTCTGCCCCGTCCGCCCCGTCTGCAGGAGTCCGGCGTCCGGATGGCGGTGAAGGCCTGCCGCCTGGAGCTGAGCGCCCAGCAGCAGGAGCGCTGGCGCCACGAGCTGCAGATCCTGCACGGGTCCGTCCGGGGCTGGGGGGGCGGTCAGGGGGTCCCCTTCCCCAGCCGGATGCCCCGCAGACCTGGGCCGGAGGGTCCCTTCGGGGGTCCCGCCTTCCCTGCACCTGGCCTGCACTAGGCAGGCGGTGGGGGCCGGGCTCCCTCTGGCCTCCCTTGGAGGCTCCGGATGTTAGTCTGATCCTGACCGTGGCTTGTTTGCATCCGGCCTTTATTATCTTTACCAATAACTCAAGGCGGGGAAGACCCCCAGCCCTCCCTCCTCCTCCTCCTCGCACCCTGTGAGGCTGGGAGGGAGGGGCTGGCCCAAAGCCACCCAGCCAAACCTTAGGACTAAGGCAGGACTAGAACTCACCACCTCCCAGTTCCTATCCGGGCGCCTCCACCACCATCCCCAGCCTCCCCCCCCCCCTTTGCCCTGATTCATGAACCGCTGCTGGGCTGCCTCCTGCTTGCCTGCCTGCCTGGGCTCGGAGGCCGCCCGGGAGCCTGAGAGGGGCCCCTTCCCCAAGGCCCCTCTCAGGCTCCCCTTCCCTTCCTCTCCGCAGCTTGGATCACCCGAATGTGGTGAGGGCCCTGGACCTGCCGGAGGAGCTGGACTTCCTGGTGAACGCCGTGCCCCTCCTGGCCATGGAGTACTGCTCCAGAGGAGACCTCAGGAAGGCAAGGCCCATTTCCCTCCCCCCCCCCCAGGGCGGCCGGGCTGCTGGATCCGCCTGGGCTGCTCGCCTCCCGCTCGGCTGCTACCTGCAGAAACCCAGGAGGGACCCCCAGCCCCACTCGGAGGCCGCTGGAGCCCCCTTCCCACATGAGGACATCCGGAGGGGGTCCCCACCAATTTGCCCGTGATGGAAGGGAGCCGAACTCCTCCTCTTGGGTTCTCTCCACGGCCTCTAAAACGTAGAAGCAGATAAAACTGCACTGGGCTTCTGCTCTTTCGTGGCCTTCCGGGGCTTCAGTCAATCAATTCCTCTTTTGAGGTCGGTTACCAATTTTGGGACCCGGAAGTTGAGCCGCAGAGCCAAACTCCGATGGCACCGGGGGTCTCCCCCTCTTTTGTGCTTTGCCTAGTAATTGTTCATTATTTCACTCCCTTGACAGTCAGCCCTCATTTTCCTGGCACAAATAGGGGCTGCGTTCTCCAACACAGAGCTCGCTAGTGACGTGTTTTGTCCTTTGGGCTCTGCGTACGTTGGTTATTAAATAGAAGATTCGTTCTAACCTTCCTATTATTACCACTGTTGCTCTTTTAGCTGCTGAATGCGCCTGAGAACTGCTGTGGTCTTAAGGAAAGCCAGATCCTTTCTGTGCTGAGTGACATTGGTATGTCGGCTGTCCTTTTCCACCATGAAGTGATTTAAAAGTGTTTGGTTTCCCAGTCTTGTTATTGTGCCTCAAAGTTCATTTAAAAAGCCCACCAGTCCTGAATACGTATAAATAATTAATCTTTATTTGTTTAGACCAGGGGTGGGCAACCTTGGCTCTTTTGTGACTCGTGGACTTCAACTCCCAGAATTCCTGAGCCAGCATGGCTCAGCATGGAAACCTCTCCCTTTCCCCTCAGCACGGCTGGCTCAGGAATTCTGGGAGTTGAAGTCCACACATCATAAAAGAGCCAAGGTTGCCTACCCCTGGCCTAAGCCTAGGCCGCTTTATGACTCGTGGACATCAACTCCCAGAATTCCTGAGCCAGCATGGGGGAACTATGGCCCCTTCATGACTGGTGGACTTCAACTCCCAGAATTCCTGAGCCAGCATGGGGGAAACTTTGGCCCCTTCATGACTCGTGGACTTCAACTCCCAGAATTCCTGAGCCAGCATGGGGGAACTATGCTCCCCTCATGACTCGTGGACTTCAACTCCCAGAATTCCTGAGCCAGCATGGGGGAAACTTTGGCCCCTTCATGACTCATGGACTTCAACTCCCAGAATTCCTGAGCCAGCATGGCTCAGCTTGGAAACCTCTCCCTTTCCCCTCAGCATGGCTGGCTCAGGAATTCTGGGAGTTGAAGTCCACCAGTCATAAAAGAGCCAAGGTGGCCTACCCCTGGCCTAGACCACAGGAGGGCATTGGGACAGAGCTTAGAGCATCTTCTGGATTTTCCACTGTTGTCAAAAGGATGAAAGCCGAATCAGAAAGTGTCTCTATTTTTTTTCCTAAATGTATGCATTTCCCCCCCCCCTAATTTCTAGGCTCTGGCATCCAGTATTTACATGAAAACAGAATAATTCATAGAGATCTTAAACCAGAAAATATTGTCCTTCAGGAGGAAGCCGGGAAGGTAAGTGAAACGCTCCAGGCGTTGCAACAATGAGTTTAGAAGGCTACGGTCGTCGGTTTCTCCGTCAAACTGTTCCACGAAACAGGCCACGGAAAGGGGAATCGTATCCCTCAGCAGCCCCCCCCCCCGTCCTGCCCTGCTCCCTCCCCACCTCTGTTGGGCCAGGCCCTCCTGCCTTTTGGGCCGGGCCTCCCTCGCCTTCTCCGCCCGCAGGTCCTCTCCTCCTGCTCTTTTGAACCACAAGGTGCCCTTGACTTTGGCCCAGTCACAAGGAGACCCTGAGTTCTAGTCCTGCCCTAGGCACAAAAGGTGGGTGACTTTGGGCACTCCCTCTCTCTCTCTCCCTCGGCCCAGCCCACCTCACAAGGTTGTCGTTGTGGGGAAAATAGGTGGAGGAGGGAATATTAGGTATGTTCATTGCTTTTAATTAGTTATACCGACAGTAAAGGTGGAATATAAATAAATCAGGGTCCAACGGTGGTGGCTTGAGGAGCTGGTTCTCCAGCCTCAGAACAACGTCTAAAACAGGGGTAGTCAACCTTGGCTCTTTTATGACTCGTGGACTTCAACTCCCAGAATTCCTGAGCCAGCACAGCTGGCTCAGGAATTCTGGGAGTTGAAGTCCACGAGTCATAAAAGAGCCAAGGTTGACTACCCCTGGTCTAAAAGGACACTTCAGCTGCCAGCTCCTTCCTTCCCATCCGATCAAAGCAGAGGCTCTCCCCCAACCCCCCCCCCGTTTCAGAGGCTCAGCTAGGGGGGGAAAAATGGAGAGAAACACCCACGTCTCCGTGAAGCAGCTCAGGTGAAAAAATGACTTGCCGTGTGATTTAATTGCCAGGTAATCTACAAGATCATAGACCTCGGATACGCCAAGGATCTGGATCAAGGAAGCTTATGCACGTCTTTCGTGGGGACCTTGCAGTACCTGGTGAGATTTGAGCACAGATTGCCCTGCGTTCCGTTCTTCACTCTCTCTCTCTGGGGGGGGGCAGGGGGGGCCTCTGTGTCGTTGATGCTTCTCCCCATTTCTGCTGTTTTGTTTTAGGCCCCTGAACTCTTTGACAACAGCCCTTACTCCATGACTGTGGACTTCTGGAGCTTTGGGACGCTGATCTTCGAGTGCATTACGGGCTTCAGGCCCTTCCTGCACAACCAGCAGCCTTTCATCTGGTGCGTTTCTCTCGCTCAGCTGGGGCA